AGAGAGCACAAGTAGGCAGAGAGGCAGGCAGAGGGAGAGGGAGAAGCAGACTCTCCACTGAGCAGGGAGCCCGACGTGGGGCTTGATCCCAGGACTCTGGGATCATGACCTGAGCCGAAGGCAGCCGCCTAACCGACCGAGCCACCCAGGCGCCCCTGGATTGAAATTTTAAACATTAAAAATTAAGCCATGAAAGGATTAGGGGGGAAAGGGGAAGATGGTGATCCATGAACTCTAGAAGTTTTAGGATGCTGAGACCAATGCAAAGGTTCAGAGTCCCTCTCCTGCTTAAAGCCTGTCAATGGCTCTCTAGGGCTCTCAGGGAGATAGGCTGAGCTCAAATACCTCCTCTTCCCCCAGGAAGTCCTCCTTGACTTCAGCCCTTCCAGTTGGGTTAGCTCATCATAATTGGAGACTTTTGGGGCCCACTTATATTGGGCGAGGTACTGCATTATTTCATTTAATTATAGTCCACATGTCCCTGTGACCCTCCTCAGAGTCTGGGATGGAAGAGCCTGAAGCATGTACTGGCAAGTTCTCTGATGATGAATGAGTAAAGGGATCTGTGTGTGTGGCTGGGCTCTCCCCAGGCTCCCAGGAGGGCAGGTCCCAAGCCCTTGCCCAGCCTCCCTCTCAGGCACCACCCCGTCCAGGGGTTTCCTGCAGCCTCTCCCCTCCTCCCTGGTCTAGCTCCTGGGACCCGCCCCTCTGCATGTTGTAACACCGCCTTGCTGCCCTTGCTCTAATCTGTCCTTTCCAAAATGTGGCCAGCCCTGAACACGCCCCTGTCTTACTCAGAAGTTTTTCCTGGCCCTCCCTCTCTGAGCATGAACCCTAAGTTCCTTTGCTTATCCTCCAATGCCTCCATGAGTCCCTCTCACTCTCCTCCCCCAGACCTCGTTCACCCCCATTGGATCCTCTGGACAAATGTGCATTCTGCACCATCCTTCCGCAGTTCTCTGCCAGGCCGACCTGCTCCCCACCCCCAGGATATCTGTGTATTTGTCCTTCCCTTAACCCTCTGCACCAGCACACCTCCGGAACCGGTTTCAGTCTTGACTGTGTTCCTCACTTGCCGTGTGGCCTTGGGCAAGGCCCCTAGCCGCTCTGAGCAGCAGGATCGATGGGAATAATATCTGCCCTTGGGTGCTACCTCCCTAGAGGTCCAGCACCCTTCAGGGCATGGACATAGGTCAGTAGGTATTATCAGCACTCTACAGATAAAGCCTGGAGAGTCAGAGAGGTTAGCTCACCCAGCCAAGCTTACTCAGCTAATATGGGCCACACCTGGTGTCTGAATGCTGCCTGGGTTTCTGTTAACTAATCTGTAAAATGGGGATGATAATACTGTACTGTCTGGAGCTACCAGCCACAAAGTC